GGAGTGGGGTGGGCGGTGGGCAGCACTGTATGAGGGGGAGCAACAGCGACAGGGGATGTGGGGACACTATGAAGGCCAAATGCACCTCCTTTCCAGTCAGCCTCTAGCTGCAATGACAATAGTTTCCAAAATCCAGTGGGACATTTGGGGGCAATGAAAGATTTTTGTAGCAATTCCTCATGTGAGGGGGCAGCTTTGAAATTGTAGCTTGGACACTGAAATGTTATAATTTCCAGGCCATTTGATTGGTCTATGGGATCATTTGAAACTGAAACTGTCGCCCGGCCGGGCGTGGCTCAGGGGTTGAGCGTCGACGTAGGATCCAGGCGATCAGGGTTCGATTCCCGGTCAGGGCACATGCCCAGGTTGTGGGCCGCAGCCGATCAATGACTCTCTCATCATTGATGTTTCTATCTCTCTCTCTCCCTCTCCTTTCCTCTCTCTGAAATCAATATATATTTTTTAAAAAATAAAAATAAACTTAAAAAAAAAAAAAAGAAACTGAAACTGTCTTAGAAAATCTAGGCTGCCTGGTGGCCATCAGTGTGGTAGCAAGTGATGGTGGGTCCCACTGTGACTGCCATTTGCCGGCCTCTAATTCTTTATTCCATAAGCATTTAGAGGTCCTGTCCCCCCCTCCTGGCACAGGCTCTGGCTCAGCCCTAACAAGAACCATTGTTGCCCCAAGAGTTCAGCGAAAGAATCCAGAAGCTTCTCTGTTTTCCTTGTCTTGAGGTCTAATCATGAGTTTTTCTTCTGCACAAAGGGAAAGAAGAGGGATGGGAACAAAAGGACTGGGTGGGGCTAGAAACCAGTAAAACACAAAGAGAACGGGAACACACTAACCAAAATCCCTTCTGAACTTCTTGGAGGAGACCACAACGCCTGGTCTTCAGCAAACAGCTTGGAGGCCAGCATTAAGCCTACTTTATATTTCATGGGGGAAAGACGGGGGTTCTCTAGTCCTCTGATGGAGAAAGGAGTCAGGTAGAATATAGAGTGTCCTGACACATTGTGAAAAGCTCCAAGTTTCTACCTAAATCCCTCCTACCCTTGGAGGCCCAGGGCAAGGTCTACATAGTCCCTCCCACCCTCGCTGGTAGATCCCATCTCTTCACAGAGAATCTTGTCTTATGAGTTAGTCTCATGCTTGTTGGCAGAATCTGGGTCTTGTCCATCTTTAGTCTCTCCCTTGGTGCCTAACGGTGCTGTGCATGTAGCAAGTGCTCAGGAAACTCAGCCGGAGCCTCACTGGCTTCTCTTTGGCCACAGGGTCTATGCTCGGGAAGCTCTGAGGGACTGCCATAGCACAGCCCATGCTCCCTGCAGAACAGAGGCTGCACGATTGTAATCAGGTGGGAGTGGTGCTCTCAAGTCCACCTGTGTTTCTGTGTGACCTCGGCAGAACCACCTTGTCTCTTGGCCTTGCCCCTTCCCGGCCCCCACGGCATCCTGTGCACACACAGTCTCTCCCATCTGTGCACAAAATGCTCCAGATTCTGGGATGAAACATAGTCTGTCCAGGTGCAAATGATTGCTACTTTTTACTACTTCAGACATCCTCCTTTTTTCTTTTTAAGTAGACTTTGAAATTAAACTAAAAAAGAAATATTTGCACAGAGATTTCCTCCAAGGCCATTTTTAATACACCTGGTAATCAGCACTGGCTTTCAAAAGTATGGTTATTATTGCCTAAAATTATTACATCATTTGACTAAAATCCTTTTGTGAATGTTTCTGATAGATTTTTTTTAATTAAAAAATGTTTCCTAATGAGGCTATTGTCCTCTCTTTTCACCTGAGGGACAGAGATACCTCCCTGTCACAGGTTATTAAATAGTAGAAGACTCTCTTAACCATATCCCACACATTTTTTCTGAGGGCCTAAAGATGTTTTCCATACCCAGAAACCTGTTTGGCATCTAGGATGAAACTGAGGCCTTGGGATGGAGGTTGCTGTAAAGGGCTTTGCCGCGCACCAGTGATCAGTCCTGGAGCCGGGAGAAGGACCAGGGCCTCCGGAATCTCCCTGTGCTTTTTACAAAAGTGCCTTTGGGAAAATTATAATGGGAGAGTGATTTATCTTTACCAGTCTCACCTTCTCTGTTCTAAAATCTTTCTCTTAACCTGAGGCAGGATAGTAAGAAGCTAAGGAGATTCCTTGGCAAGTGGAGTAAGGGAAACTGAGACAATATAATTAAACAAGGCAAAAAATCTGACCAATTTACAGCCAGCTAATGAATCACAGGGTTTTATTTTCCCTAGCCAAGGACACTAAGGGACAAATGGTTTACATATTCCAGACCATTC